ATAGGCAGGCTCGTCCGGGTAAGTACCACGACCTCACAGAAGACCGGCGTAAAGTGGAAGTATAATACTTTCGCGTTTCGTCTGGTGAGTGAGGTGGCCGGAGCCCAATTTTCAAAAGTTTGTCAACGCATCTGCAACCCTCGGATGTAGCAGATGTCCATGGGCGGCGGTATTCACTTAACATCAGGTGAACCGTCTGCTCGCTTGGCAACTTTTCGCATAAAAAAAAACTCGATTACTAAATCTGAAAGAAGCCACATTATGGGAGTTTCACGATATTTCTAGAATTAAAAATTTGTGAGACATTATTACCGAAACAATAAAAGGCGACTAGTTTAATCTCTGCGCGACGGGGCGCGACCGCGAACTCATCCCACTTTCCCGGACGGACACTCGGAAAGGTCCGAATCTAATCTGTACATATAAATGATAATAAGTAAATAAAATTTAATACATATACTTTTATTATTTATTATTTTGGTATTTCTTGAATTCAGTCTTACGTTAGCAGCATTTAATTTCGTAGCCCGAAATGTGAAGTCCTACATGATATAAAAGTCCATTTTATTCGGAATCATTGAAAGCTTCCACATTAGCTACGAGAAACACACGCGAATCGCGTAATAGCTCCGGAGCTCGGAGCTTATTAATGTGGGCCGACACCGTGTCATTAGAGGGCGTGAATATTTAAGCAGATGCGGCGGGCGGCGGCGACCCGACGCGTCCGCGCACGCTCCGCGGGACCGCTTGGATTACCTTACTGTTGAATTAATTCTGCTTGCTCTCGTAAGATACGGCCAATTGTCGTTTACGCAAGATCAGGGGGAGATTTCAATTGCCGCAATGAACGGCTGGTCCTCCGATCCGTCTTACGTTTTACCCGCGTCTTTCTCGCGCCGTTTTAAGCCAAACTCGACGTCGAATAATTAAAAATATTACGTTTTTTACGTTGCCCTATCATTAAATGCTAATTTGGTACCATCGAGAATCGAAACGTGTCGGTGCTGTTGTTGGCAAAATATTTTTATGTTTTCCGAACAGATTCATAAGCTCTTGGATTAATCCGTTAATTATAACCGCAGTCATCTTAACTGTACATGGGATCAAGCCTTAACATTTTTACGCTATACGAATGTCTGAATATGTATTCGAATAACGACGCAATAATCCCCTGAGAAATATCTAGGATCGCATTGGGAAGCTTCATCTTGAGTTCAATTCTGGCATTACGCAACGTAATAGAATGGGGGGGGGGTCATCCCGTCCGCGCCCAAAAGTCGCACCCGCGAAGTGGAGAACAGTCATATCCTATCGATTTGTTAAGATGGCGCGCGTAGGGGGACGACAGTTTGGGGGTGTGGGGCGGGAGGGGGGCTCTCTCGGCTCGGCGCAGCGTGCAGCCGCCCTTGCACCTGCCCGGATGGCAACCGCGGCCGCCGCGACACACTAGCGACACCGCACTCGCTGCGCGCTGTCGCACTCCGCTACACAAAACTACAAAAACAGCGAGTGCAACAACTCTTGTATACACAATCCGACAAACTTGATGAGGTGTATATGTGGATGAGAATCGATTCCTCACATAACTAACATCAACGAACAATAAATATTATACAATCAGATTTTTAAATATCAGCCACACGCCTACTACCATTGCCTTTGCAGGACTAACTCGTTAAGTAATTTATTTTAATTTACGCTATATATAATACTTCTCTTTCTTTCATTCTTTCGGATTCATCAAAATTATTGGTATTTTACAGATGTTACTGCGTGTAAAAAAAAGTAACAGCCTATACATGTCCCACTGCTGGGCAAAGGCCTCCTCTATATAGAGGGTATCAGGGCATAATCCACCACGCGGCCCCACTGCGGATTGGCGGACTACTACTGCGTGTAAAATGATTCTTATATTATTTTTTTGTGAAAACTTGTTAAGCGAGCTCTTGGCGGTTCATCTGATGTTAATTGATTACAATTGGCATGTACCACACCTGAACAAGTTGCAGATGCCAACTTAAATTCTGTTTCAAATTAAATTTCGTTGCCGTTCAACGTTTGAACCTGTTTAGGATCCATAGTCTCACAGGACAGATTGGGCTGTTTTACTCACCAAATTACTACTGTCATCTTTTTATAAACTTTATGGCGCCACAGTGTGTCCCACTGTGTGTAGTTTGCTGAACAGGCAAATAGCACGAGGCCCGGCTGGGTGAGGGACGCGACAGTCGCTTGTATCATGCCATTCCGTCAAGTCTGTCAGGTTTAGGTTCAATAAAATTATATAGAGTATTTGCTATAAGGAGGATCCTCATAGTGTGAATGTGATATATATGTGTGAACTATATAAACTGTGTATGTATTTATGTATATTCGGACTTTGTTATTTATATATCCAGCGGCAAGAACACGCACGCGTAAAAAATTATATACATTAAAACTTTAATACGAAAAATGAGCTTCGGTATGATTTTTAAGTGAATTAAAAAACAGTACTTGTATTTGAACTCAACAAGTGTCCCGCGTAGTCTAGGCGGCGTACGACCCTCCCCGGACACGAGTGTCGTGCCCTCTGCGACCGCTACGCTCTCTCGTCCCTCCCTGGCGAGCGTCTACTGCTCCAAGGTCGACGGAATGCGAACCAAAGGTGACACCGCACAATCAATCGGGAGATACGAAGTGTTTGTAGTCCCCCTATGCTACGCGAAACCGTAACAATAGTTAAACATACATGCATAATATGGTCGAAATACTGCGATACATATTTTGCTCTGTGCGCAGAATCGCTAATAATTAGAATCCTCAAATAAATAACGTCAACGATAAATAAATATATAATTCATATTTAAAATTGTCCCACACGCCTACAACCATTGCTTTAGCAGAACCAAATCTTTAAATAAAAAAAAATTATCAGCCTATACATGTACCACTGCTGGGCAAAGGCCTCTTCTGTACAGAGCGTATCAGGGTATGTTCCACCACGCGGCCGCAGCTAGTTTTACATAAATATAATCGTTCTTACTAATCGTACAAAAAAAAGTCGTACTATCTGAAATCACTCAGGACGATGGTAGTTGTCCACAGGTAACGTCAGATGAGGCGCCAGATCATTTCCCAACTTTTCAAAAAAATTGCGTCAAAGCCTATAAGAATGCGTAAAAATTATAACTAACAACGAAGTAGGCAATTGAGTAAATTAAAATAAATTATTCAGAGCCTGCCACTCACACACAGATTGCGCCGTCATAGTTTAGCGTCCGGGCGTTCGCCTTCACTACATAGTATAAAACAAAGTCGTCTCGCTGTCTGTCTGTCCCTATGTATGTTTAGATCTTTAAAACTATGCAACGGATCTTGATGCGGTTTTTTACTAGATAGAGTGATTCAAGAGGAAGGTTTATATGTAAAAAACATTGCACCCGTGCGAAGCCGGGGCGGGTCACTAGTTTAATACATAATTGGTTTGCATACTATATTATTTTCGTTTGCAGCTTTACAATTGTAAAAAATGTACAATAATGACCTTAACCGAAAAGGCAATATTTCAATCGTCACGTTTTTAAGCACCTCCGCGATTTCCGATGTTGCCAGTGTAAAGAAGTTATACTGCCGCATGTAAAATTGGAGCGGCCATAAAGAGCCGGTTGTATCATTCGTTTAATGCCGTGTTATAGAAATTAACGACGCCCCCGTTCGGGTCTCGTTAGCGAATGTCGTTCTCTTGATAACCACTTTCTTAATAAGTTCGATGTTGATTTTCCCACGCGGAATTAATTTATGCTGCACGTATGCTATATGCGATTGCACCGAGCCCGCTCGTTTTTAACGCGCTTTTATTAGCTATACGTGCCACTGTTACATACATATGTATGTATACATATATGTAATTGATTCTTCGAACGCGATTTTGACTTCTAAATGTCGAATTAAATTGAGTCTTTACACACTTATCAAGGTCCGATGACAATGCAATCATTTAAATAGTTTGTCCCATTATTCGATTAGGACCCTCAACGACTTATACGATTTATAGATAAAGTTTGAAGTCTATCGGAATATATTTTTAACAGAATCCATAGTCCAAATTAAAAGTATAAACAATTATCGTGTTACAGTTGGAGGTCGGTTGTGTTCATAACATCCAATGAGTTGCATCTGTGAATAGTTACTATAACATTTGTAACGGTTAATGTAGACTGTTTGTCTGAGATTAAGCAATACTAAGATGAAATATTTCTTAAATTTGAGCAACCTTTACTAGTTAAGGGCTCTCACTCAAACGTACTTGAAACATAACTGTTGAAGTTTAGACAACGTTGCCTTAATGAGGTATTTTATTCAACGCAATTTTATCTTGTTGTATTTTAAAAAGCGAAAAAGCGTAGCTGATTAAACTTCTATAATTATAAGAGGTTCATTTTTTTATCTTTTAATCATTATTTTTTGTTTCTTTTTCCCAAATCAGAATGATTTGACCAAGGTTGACTAAGCTCGATTGATTTTCCGCAAAGATTTAAAAAGCATTTTTAAATTATTAGTTATTTAGTAGCTAACTCTGTAGTTAGCTACTAAATAACTAATAAACGTGTGAACGATAAACTTCTGTACGTTTATCGTTCATACGTTTACAGTGTCTTGTCCGACAATGACGAGCCATAAGATGTAGGTTCGATCCCTACTACTGGAAAAATATTGTGTTTTTCGATTTTCTGGGTATTTATATTATTATATGTTTTTATTTACAAAAGAAAAGCATCTATCAGTTATCCAGTACCCAAAGTGCAAGCGTAGCGGTAGAACGTTGTGTAAAAATGTGTCCTAAATATTTATTTATTTTATATTTATCATTTATTTATTTCTTTCCGTATGTCATAATTGTCGTTGGAAATATCGTATATATGTAATAACTATTTAAGAATAAAACGTCGTTCTATTTCAGCCAAATAATACGCATGATTACTATTGTTCAACTTATTAATATGTGTGTCATGTTACAGTGGCACAGTCAGAAGACTCGCCGGTCGCAATGAAACTCAAGAAAATTTGCCTTAAAACGCCGATAGGCGAGGAGCAGGCGGCACAAGCGGTCCTGGACCCGGCGTTAGGTGAGCATTATCATCGCATTCATCACCCAAAGCGGTGTTATTTATAATACAATCATTTATCAAGCATCGAATATTATAAAACGATATGCATTAATATGTATATTGATTTTAAAGCTTTGATTTTCGGGTAAAGCAAGGTAGTATTGTCATTGATGAACTTTTGCTCTTCAATTGCATGTCTTCCTGGTTACTACTCATTTATACTTGTATTGTATTATTCAGAACATGAAAGAAAAACATGTTTTTTATTCAAACATAAGCCAGAAATTGTTAAATAAAAGGCCAGTCTCGTGATCTGGGAGTCTGTAACGTGTTCGAACGCGAAAAATCGAATTTCGTTTTATGTAACAACATGCAGTTTTGGCGTAAACACTAGAAATCATCATTTTACCAACCCATATGCCGGTTATCCTTTGCTCTGGTCTAAATTAGTGCAGCATTGACGTTCTCTTACTTTAAAATAGCTTTGATAAGTTTAAATTAAATAAAGAAAGTTATGTTTGACTTTCTCAATACTTCTCATTATTATTACTATTATCTTCATTATTTAATACTCGTCATTTGCAATTTATAATATGGTCTTTGCGCTAAATTAATTCCACCATTTGTGTCTGGGATAATTACCCTATTACGAATATTCAACAGTTTTTTTGGTATCCTAGGATAAACGACGCTTGTCGGATTTAATCCTCGCTATATCCATTTCATTATCCTTCCCTCCTTACAAGACCCGGACCATCTCCATGCTTTGTATGTTGCTGTTATTAATATTTTGTGAGGCATAAATGGACTGATGCAGACCTTTTTTTTTTTTTTTGGGCTGGATGAGCCACTGTTGGCCTTAGGGGCCTTTACAGTTCCGACGGTGGCCTGGCGCACGAGGCGCCTAGCCTGAACCTCGGCGTACTATTATTACATGCAGACCTCTTCAAAAACGTCACGCGTTAACTACTGGTCAGTCCTTTTGGTAGATGTTGACAAATTTAACATAAAAAAAAGCATTCAAATACCTTCTTTTTCCAATGCATTGAAATACCATCTCATTGGTGACATGCCATTTGTCTAAAGTTAATTACGTTAATTTATTTCATTGTCACGTTAAAAAGAAAACTGAAAGTATCTCGAAAATCTTTTAGGGCCTCGAGCCGGCTCGGTGGTTTGGACAAGCCAACTTCTCGACTCTCGAGGGTCGGAAGGTTCGTAATAGCTCTCGAGAAAAGTGTTGGCTCAGATCGCATGACCGGAAAGGCCTTCTGTAACAAGTTTAAAAACACAACTCGATTTTGTTGCTCCACAAACGGGGCTCGATATCACGTTGTTCGTTTCAATCGATGAAATCGAAATATAGAGTTTTATTGAATCTGTTTATAAAAGTTATTGTAAACATAATTATTAAATACTGAAAATTTACATTTCAGAACAGTAATATAGTCGTCGACACCTCATGTAAAACGTGTCTCTTTCGCGATGCGTCCCTTCCATTATATTGGTTTAATAACGTTTAATTCTTTCGTTCGTAATTCGTCTCTCGGCGACAGATAGTGGTCTTTCATTGTGCACTCGTTTTTAGGACATTTTCAAGGTGACGCGACGCGTGTACCGGTTTTCTTGAACGTTCGCTCGGTGCGTTTTCACACGCGGCCCGCTCAGTTGGCATCGGCGGGCCGCGCTTTTATTGGCCATCGAGGCGCGCATCGGCTCTGTGATGTCATCAATTTGAACACGCGGACGCGGGGACGCCGATGCAGCGCGCCATATTATTACGGGCGCACTTGTAAATAAGCGCCGTCTCATTGCATGCCCCGAACGGAGAAAAAATGAGACATGCAAAATCGAGCATTGGTACTCGGCATCGCTTCCTTCTTACCGAACCTCAACGAAACGTTTCGATTCTCCGTAAATAATAGTTGTTTCAGAGAATATTGTAAGAAGTGTGAGGCATACGCGTAAACATTGAATCTCAAGAAAGCATGACTTACTTACGGCCCCTAAGATACTTCAATTTGAGCTTAACCACAATAAAATTCATTTAACTGTCAACTGGAGAACTGAACTTAAGCATTGACCAAATGAATGGGTTTAACGGTAGTTAAATGCAGCTTGGACTTGTAAGTAGGGCTGTTCAATCATACTATTAAACAATCATAATATTATTAAAAATAATCTAAATGCAAAAACTCGCCTAAACTTAATCCCCAGTCGGAGCACACTATAATAGGTTTTTTAATAACTTCATCCCTCTACCGTAAAGAATGGATCAGTCTGTTACAGCGTAAATACTTGTGCTTTGTTAACAAATCAAAACAATTGTTTGGAATAGGCAAAACGTTATTATTGTTAGCATCAGAAATTAATAAAATGGTGACAAGCAATATACATAGATGTCATCACCATCTATTAAGAACAGGCAGACGTTAAACCACAGGCGATAAAAAAAATACCATGGAATCACGGGAAGTTTATGTTGCCGACGGCCGAAGAAGGGTAATAATGTCTTTGAGCTTATGTATGTATCGTCTGGAGCTTTGGCACTCTTGGCAGCATAGAGGATTTCAACATATGATCTGTCACTAGATTCATGACATAGGCTGTATCATTTAAATGATGAAAGAAAAATAGCGGAATATTTAGTATTCTTATTGCGGTCGGGTTGTTTGTCTCATTTAATAATTTATGTATTCATCTCTATTCTAAATCAGGTCCAAACATTACGTGCGAACCGATTCTTAGTTTATTATGTAAGGCTTTATTACTCGGCAGCGATATTTTAGCCCATGGTGGTGGTTATGGTCCGCGATGCCTTCGAGTGGAACTGATCAAGCTAAACATTTTGGCCAAAGAGTGGCAGGCTTTCAAAATCTAATACAGGCTGCATATGAGGACGCAAGAAATAATTTTAATTGACATCCGCATACAGTGACTACAATAATTGATTAAAGTGAAGATGATATTTATTTATTTCTCGTGTGGTGGAGCCATGGAAGAACGTCTACCGTTATGTATTGGCCTGCTTATCCAGGGAAGTCCCACATTTGCGAAGTTTTGCCTTTTCGGGCGAGTGCGGCTGTCGGAAGTTTGGCAAAGCAATTGGTACCCTATTAGTATTAGGAATGTCCTTGGGAATCAGTAATCTCTTAACGTCAAGTAAATCGTACGCTAGTTTGTCCATCTTTTTTAAGATTGATATTAAACATTGCTTTGTTTCACACAGATTTTTATACATTTACTCCTTAGTTATTGTTTTCTTTACGAGTCAATATTTTCTTTTATGCATACTTTTGCTGATATATATTATCAGACAAACCGGCACTCTCGTTGTGATAGAGAATTGGCCGTTTTGACAGCCATTCAAAAGCTGTCTCCGATTTTTTTAAATTGGCTTCTACAATTGTGCGTTACGCGTATAAGGTTTTCATTACCACGCTACATTGGAGCCAGACATTGCGCATTAGTGATGCTGCTTTCGGGCGCCGAGAAACGGACCGCCGCTTGTTGGCAGTACCTGCCTAGATTATATTGAGGTGATTATGAAATCGCAGGTGACTGACCCGGCTTAGAGCCACATGGCTACCTGCACGGGGTGGTGGACCGTTGCCTAGTACGCTGCACATATGGAACAACAGGCTCCATCAAGAGTATTGAGAAATTTATTAAATCACACACGTTTATTAGTTATTTTTCTATTCGCGATATTTATAATCACGTTAATTGTCACGATTTTGGAAAAACTTAAATTCCTCTTTTAGATTTGAGCCAAATTCAAATCAACACACGTTAGATGTAAACAAGTAAAAAAAAAATATGTAAAAACAAGTTTAACACATTATAGAACTTTTATTTTTAATTCTTAGTACTCACTGCTTTGAGATTTGCTGCAGAGTCGCGGGGTGAACCTTGATACCGTGAACTGTTAAAAATAGAGCAATAGAATTCGTAAAAATAGTTTAATTCGACGCGTACCTACTTAGTTTTCTCGTAGTAAAAGTCAGTCTTGACTAAGACGCTATTAATTGTCGCTTTGTTATCTCCAATCCTATGATTCGTTAACTGACACCGAAATATATAGTCGCCATCGACCACAGTTGCGATGACATCGTCCTTCAAGTGTCAATGAAAAACAAATTTGAAAATTATTGATTGTCAAAATTAAATATTTTTTAAGCATCCACTACACAATGTAAACTCTACCCTAAGTAAAACTCTACCTATTATAATGTCGAAGAACACATCGAGGACGTGGATTTGTGGAAATGACTCTTGATCTGCACTTGCAAGTCCCTTGGATGCTGCTGATTTTATACTTAAATAACTTTGTATACTTATATCATTAAAAAAAAGATAGTAGAGTGTCTTGCCGGCTCTTCACTGAATAGGTCTAGTTTAGCGAGCCGTAGTTTTTAAACGTTCAATTACAGCTTAAAACTTGAGTAAAGAAATTTCGACTTTAAGAATAACATGACAAGTGGTCAGTGGTCCGCGAGACGAAAATGTTTGGGGGAGCCCTGTTACAGGTGATAGAAACATTCTCCATTCTCCCTTACGCGCGCCGTCACGCTTTGAGTGACGCCAAATTGTAGCAGCACGGCTCGTTTGATGCTGCAACGGGTCGATCTCGTACGCGCGGGTGGATAACCTAAAATTAGACGCGCGTACACAGCGGTCCACAGACGGTACGTAGGTATTGTACGTAACACGCGGAACTCGAAAGCGTCTCGAAATTTGCGCGCCGCGTATCACGTAAAATGAATGTATACGGTAACGCTTTAGGCCGCCCACATACGGATTTTCTTTCGATTGTCGATTTTTAATTCCTTGCTTTGTAAAATATTTCCTTTTCAACATAGGTAGATTCGGACATATTAAAAAATAAGATTTCTACCATAGAAATATAGCCGAGATAGCTAGCCTTTAATGGAATATACTCGAGCAACCGGAGTTCAACCCCGGTGCCGACAACAATGATATTTAGGTACATTTTTAAATGCTGACAGCACTTGCTCAACACTACTGCACACTGCTAAGACTATATATTTAAAAAAATATGTTTCGTATATGCGAAACATATTTTGTCAAGTCTGCCAATGCGCAGTAGGATCGCGTGGCGTACTGTGTTCTAATACCCTCTACAGAGGAGGCCTATGCTCACCTGTGGGATATTTGTAGTGGGACTCAATGTAATGCGATTTCTTAGCAAATATATTTATCTAGTGACCTGGCCCGGCTATACGCCCAGGTGCAATGTATTGTAATATAAACCTTCTTCTTGAATCACTCCAGAAAAAAAAAGCGCATCCTGAGCCGTTGCGTAGTTTTAAAGATCTAAACATACATAGGGACAGACAAACAGTGGGAGACTGTTTTATTGATACTGATAAATTCATTTTATATGTCGAAATCAACTCATTTCACTACATATGAGAATATTGTCGACTGATTTCTACTCCGACGACTCTATTTTGTTGCTTTATATTCGGCTGAAAATAAGTTTAAAACATTTAGCATTTTGTCTTTTAATCGTTATCTTAAAAGAGTTTAATAAAAACTCTGATGATAAGCTTAAAGCGTGTTCTTCCAGCTGGAATGTCTATAGCAATTGTTCTTCTTTATAGATACTTTAAAAATACCTTGGACCAGTTATCAATTTAAGACCCTTTTAATTATATGATAAGTTGTCTAGCGAGCAGGCGGTCCATTTAAATTTAAACAGATACCGCCGCTCATGGACATCTACAGCACCTGAGGAGCTTGCAGATCCGTTGACAACCTTCAAAGTGGGCCCCGGTTACCTCACTTCCCAGATAAAACGCGAAAGTATAATAACGTCCACCTCACTGTAGTTTTCTATGAGGCCGTGCTACTTCCTCTGACGAACCTGCCCATTCTTGCAACAGCAGAAGCTTTTGTGTGGCCCTACCACAGTACATTAAATGAATAACGCAACAGCTATTAAATACATAACGCGTGCCGATAAAGGCAAATATCACATCGTTTGTCGGAGACTGAATATTGTCGTACCACTTTAGTAAGCCACCCATACAATTTTGCAGCATTATACACCCGATTCATACTTTGAATGTGCGGAAAGTGAAAATAAGCAGGTTCTTCCTTTCCTGGTGGGAATTTGGGTTGACTTGCTATGTATTATCGATTGCACTACTACCGATACGAATGTATTCACGTTTGCGCCACTGAGTGATTTCGTATGTTTAGTTAACAAAATAAGTATTGTACAAATTGTTTTAAATTAAAACCGCTTATTAGGAATTCTAAATCGTAGACAGAACTAAGCGCTATAAACGATGTAAAGCTATGCAGGATAGCTAGATAATGATTTATATCACATATAGCCTACATAATGTAGATAGTTACATGTTGTTTTACATTTTATTAAATTCATTAGGAAATCGCTCTATGACAATGCTCAAATATTTATATATTATATATATAATATTTTAACTATCATTCTGACGCCTGTGTATGGTATATGAATATTAAATCTTTATAATTATTTTTACGTCTCCACTCGTCGCAAGTGAATCATAAAAAGTTGGCCAAGACATAAGTACGTTTCCCTAAAAGCAGTGTTAGCGTTAGAAGATGGGAGCTCTTGACCGCAGTCTCACGATGCAGTAGTAATTTCAAACGTCACGTAGATTATCAAGTGAATATATGCACCGGGGGCACTGGGATGAATCGCCAAATCCGAATGGGCCAAGTGGGCGTTAAGGGAGGAGGAACATATAGGCCGGCGCGATAAGTGCAACTTCAGTGTGTTGCACATAGCCCGAGGGGGTCGTGGGTGTGGGGTGTGCGAGGTGGCGCTGTTTCGGACAATAAGCCGTTGCGTTGCCACGGCCCAACGAGCGGCCTACGACGCGAGCAATTTAGTTTGCACGCCGCTCGGCTGACGGTACGAAATTCAAGATTCTACTGTTCAACGCACTTCCGCATCAATGTTAACAATCCTTACGAATGCTAACAGTGCAGCATGTTTTTGAGAAACTTTTGCGGATTTGCATTTGAATATAATTAATTAAACGTCAGCCAGGGGGCGATACGATAGAATAGCGAAAGCGACAACGCTGGCCTCCGCATTCGAATTTGAATGCGAGGGCCGTCGCGTCGCGTCGCGTCGCGTCGTCGCGGTCCGCCGAGATGTATCGGCGTGCGCGTCGGGGCGAGCTCCTCGGCTCCGCACGTCGTCCCCGGTAATTTGATTGGGGCCGGGGCTTGTCACCTATGCGCCGCAGCCGGGCCGGCCGTCGCTCGGCGGCTATCGATTAGAGCGGTAACCCCTCCCCGCCTCCCCCGCCCCGGCCTCGCGCCGCACCGCCCGCGAACCGGATCTCGTCACGCCGCCATTGTGTACCCGCGACGCTTAAACGCATTCGTTTCTCCCGATGCGAAAACGACGCATTCCTTCCGCGCTCGCCCCCGCCCCGCGGACCCCCGCTGCCCCCCCGCGCCCTCCGCCCCCTCGCCGGCAAGCCACCGCCACAGCCACGGGACCGCACCGACGTCCGATCCTTGCGTTACTTTTACGGCCCGCGGGCGTCGCAATGATGCCCGCGATGTTGCCCGCAAGCCACGCGCGAGGCCACATGCGCCACCCTTGCACGGTTGCAATCTTTACGAACGAACTGGTCTTTCATTAAGCAGAAAAAAACATAGCGTCATCAATCAACAATACTGTAAAACGACATAATCATACGCCTTGTGTCGTAAATAATCCAATACAAATATCTCTATTCAATATAGAAGAATTACACGTACTTAGTGGTTGGGAAAAGAAGCCACTGGTATAAAAATATGCCGAAGTGATAAAATTTTTTACAATAGATTGCAGAATATTAAGTCATAATGATTGCCCTTCTTGGAAGCGTGTCCAATCTGTGTCTGTCAATAAGGTATCTCATCTTTATAAGTATACAGTACAACAATGTTGGCACACGAGTTACGAGACTTTTACTTTTCGCCGGCGCGGTGTAGTAATACCTCAATTGTAGCCGAAATAAACAGAAACATAGCGAGAGCGCAGTGGAAAGCGGGCCGGGCCCGGCGGCAAGTGCAGTGACGTCGCGGTGCCGACGTTATGTTGTGCAACCTCACTTATGCACGGGGATTGGTCAACTGCATTCAGGTTTATTGCAGTTCGCGCGGTCACTTCGGCTCACGTTTAAGTTTATTCACACATAACATTTGATCGTAAGATCATACAACGTTATGAGCACTACACCTTGGTACGGCTTGACTAAGAACTTTCGACAGCAAGTTCAATGCTTTAGAGCGATACCTACACCGAAATCAGTATTTTAATAGCACCACAAAAACGGTTAATGCAGAACAGCACGAGTTGTCGGTGCTGTTGTAAAAGTCCAATTAAAATTCGACATTCGTTAAGCACTATAAAGCTAAAATATTCAGCCGGGCGGTGGTGGAGGTCAAACTTTCTTTGCAGTGGAACCGTAGACGTATAAGAAACGACGCCCTTGCCGACGAAGGTTATCCGAGCGCGGTCGTCGTATATACAGCGAGTTATTTGAGGGGGATTACTCTGAGAAATTACATCGAATTATACGCTATTGAATCGGTGCCGGATTTAGTGTAGTTTTCATTATTCGTAAAGTGCGACTTATCGTATTTTATTCTACTCAAAATTGATTCGACTTAAAAGTAGATTTAACGATTTTAAACGTATAACCACTGCAAAGCGCAGCTTACTCTTTTACTCTTACGTTTTTTTATGAGAAAAGTTGCGAAGCGACCAGAAGGTACACCTGATGTTAAGATGATTATCATCTCCCATGGACATCCACAACACCCGAGGGCTTATAGACGCGTTGACAGCCTTTAATATAAGTGGGCCTCGGTTAACTCAATCACCAGACGAAACGCAAAAGTATAATAGTTCCCATAACACCTAAACCCTAAGGGTGGCAATGCGTCTACGACTACACGGTTGTTGCAGATCTCTATTGGCGACAGTTATCGCTTAATTTCAGATGAACCGCCAGCTCGCTTACCATCTTACCTATCACATACATATCCATACAAGTTGGTACTATGATGGGAAACAGATGGGAAATTTTCGATATTGTTTTCCCTTCCTCCGGAAAACACTTCAATGCAAAACCGACATCAGACCTTGAATTCAGCTGCTTAGACCCTACTAGACCATATCCCAAAAATATCCCGTCATATCCTCCCAGTTGCTAAGTTGAACGCCGCATTCAACTTTTTTTGCGCCCCAACGAGCAATTACGATTTCGAAAATTCATCGATGACAGTAACAAGAGACCTAATTGCCATGTTCATGTGCCTAGCTTTTTTTTTGTCTTTTGAAATCTATCGTGTAGTAGAAGAGATGAAAATTTGAATGAGCGCCGAACAAAGCATCCAATTGAGGCCGCTAAGTTCTATTAGAGTGTGCCGAACAATGTCATGGTTTTTATTTTTACGCTGCAATTGTGTTTTGTTTTATTAATGCAAGAATATTAGCCTGTGCCATCGGCTTCGGATTGGAAAAAAATGGGATGTACTCTGTAAACGACGCTCAAAGGAATGTTGTACATATTTGGTTTTTGTGTGGATGGGGTTGGCTTGTGTGTCCCAACGAACACAGCGACCTTGAAAGATCTATTGTAGTGTTCCATTTGAAGATATTGTTCTGTGGGATAACATTATCCCGTGACGCAAGGACGTTTTACATACATATATTTCACTTGAACAAGAACCCAGAACCGAAACACTTATCCGTGGGTCACACACATAGTTGTCTCGTGTAGGAATCGAACCCACAACCCCTGGCGCCGAAGCCAATGGCAAGTTGCTCCACGGTGTTATCGATGGATTGTATGAAGAACATAGAGAATTTTTACTAAGGACATGTGTGGCATTGTTTGTTTACCTTTATTATGGCCCACACAAATTTATCCCTAAGCAGTCATGGTATGCCTCCCCCACAACACAACTTCAGTCTGATCATAACTGCAAGCCAAAACCTAAACTGAGTAAATTGGCTTCTCCACGCCCCGTGTCAAGCACCCCACTGTGAAACGAGTGCTTCTATTTTTGTTGTTTTGTTTGTTTCATGTAATTTTATTGCCGGCTGGTAGGTATTATCGCAACGAAAACATTGAGAGAAGAAATGGAGCGGAATTTATTTGAAGGTAAAAAAAGACGCGAACTGACGTTAGGCGGGAGTCGCGCCCCGAGAGTAGAGTACCGCAGCCGATTGAATTTTCCACCTAGTTTGCGTGTATAATTGGAAAACATCATTTCGACATTTTATCCTAATAGTTTTGGTTAATTTTAGCTTGTGCCATTTTTGAACTTTCCACAGCGGACATTTTCATACTTCAGAATCCCTGTAAATATTGACATATGTTCCTTTAACTTTATAATTTGGCAGTACGTATTTGGTTTGAACTTGAAACCTCAACTCGATGAGGGGATAATGAATCTAGTGAGGAACACGGACTGTTTGGCAACTGGCAGCTCCAGAACTCGTTGGCGGTTTTCATTTCGAGGTATAGAACCAAAGTACATGAAGTGTATATTTAAGAGACTCTCAGACTTAGTATTTCATGAGCAGTGAGCGTTAATTACGGCGACCGCTAATTAAAGCCGAGCCAGCCCAGGTATTCCCGGAGGAATCTAGCGGTGTCTTGGGATATATAACGAATTTAATCAAGCCGGGCTGGCATACAACGTATTAAAACGGTTCCTTATAGAGCCATCCAACTTGGCTTCAATATGCACGAGTTTCTAAGATGCAATCCGTAGTCTCAAAAGATATTGCATGGAGGAAATTTCAAGGAACTCCATTCTATTTTAAAAAACTAGATTACACAGAATAACATTTGATTACAGATAATAACATTAAGTTAGTAATAATGATGCTTTTCCCGAAAAGGACCGAGCTTTGCTCGGTTTGTTTTTTTTTTTTTTTTTTTGGTAAATCGTGTATTGGAATTTACATTTAGATACAAATTACAAAGTAATGAAATATGCGTAATATTTTTCGATCTTACTGACGTAATAATAAGAAAACTGATGTTTTTGAACTGGTGTTTTTCACAAAATATAACAAAATAACAAATCGACAAAAAATAAAAGATAAAGAAAGCAATGATCTGAAATCGAAGAAAAGTAAAAAAAAGCAATCAAATTTTACGAAATGATTGAATCATTATCATTGGTCATATCGTTTTTTTTTTTAAATATTCGTTTAACCAATGTTTTTTTTTTTATTTTTCAACTAGCTAGCATTTCTTTTTATAAAATCTTAAACAGTTGCATATGTTTAAAAATTCATAAATTTTTGATTTAGACGATATTAAACGCTAAATTTAGCCTGAGAGACCTAGCATTGACAATAAATTGCGGAAAAGTGCCTTCTCGTTTATTTTCCCCATTATATCGGTAGCTATTAATAAGTAATATAAAATGTTAAAACGTCGACAGTCATAATAATAATAATGTATTTATTTCTCCTTACAATATATGACAACAAGATACAATATCATGAGTTGGTACAGCTTCAGTAAAAAATTTAATCAGGTAATTGTGCGGAGCTGGTGTCTATAGGTGTAAAAACCTGTATTACAGATCACCAGGTCCTCACCCCACGGAATCAAGTTAAGCATAGTTAACAAAGCTGGAATAATTGTACATAAAATAAATTGTCTTAAGTAACTGTTCAGGTAATGTACTGGTATATTACAAATACAACTTCTTTATATGTATACAGCGTGTCTTTACCACCGCGACAATAATTGAACACACGTCTAACGCTACTTGCCAATAATCATAAAAAATATTAACGTTAAAAAAAATCCATAATTAAAAAAATATTTTTCAAAGTAATTAAATAAAAAAGAAACAAAATTTCTAACATCCTATACAACTACATCTGACTGATTCATACATTCAGAGACTTTTTCATTCGTTGCCACAGCGCCGCATTACAAGTCTGTCCTTCTAAACAGTATGTTTTGTCTCTTTTAATTTCATTCAACCCATTCATATGCTTTGTGACCTTTACAAATGAACTTTACATTAAAGTTTTATACGTAAGGGTGTTTCTAAAATTCTTTGTTTTGGAAAATTTGATAACTCGTTAAATATTGATGTTTAAAGAATGTAAATTTTTAATACAATTTTAAAAAGTTATCCTCTATATGTGTGTTCATTTATTGCCGCGATGGTAAAGACACGCTGTATATAATTCTTCTGTGCGTGTTTATGTCACTGAACTTGTCCTAAACGGCTGGACCGATTTTGATGAAATTTTTTGTGTCTCCAGGTCGATTTGAGAATGGTTTAGATTCACATTTTTTTATTTAAGTCGTGTGTACAGGACAACGTCTGTTGGATCTGCTAGTCTTTACATATATATATATATATATATATATATATATATATATATATATAATTCTTCTGTGCGTGTGTATGTCACTGAACTCCTTCTAAACGGCTAGACCTATTTTAATAAATTTTTTGTGTGTCTTCAGAGGTGGATTCGAAAAAGGTTTCGATTCACAATTCGGTTCAATTTAAATTGTTTTTTTTATTATTTTCTTTTTTTTATAAGTTGTCGGATTTGGTGCGTGTGTACAGGACAACGTCTGTTGGGTCCGCTAGTATAAATGTGTATCTTAAATTTCTTTAAAAGTCCCAATATAAAGAATACCACCAATACCATAGAAATATATAGAATACCACGGCCTCTCATAAGACGAGCGTGAGTGAGGTAACTGGGGCCCACTTTAGTAGGTTGTCTACCTATATCTGCAAGTCTTCAGGGGTTGTAGATATCCAGGCGGTGGTTCCCTAACATCAGGTGAACCGCCTGCTCGCTTGTCAAGTTTTCTCATAAAGTGACAACCATCATTCAAGGGTATTCGTATCATCCGTGGGTTTTCACTCGCTTTAAACTGTAAGCCCCGGATTAACTCAATCGCCAGACAATTCGCATAACTATGAACACCTCTACGCCCGTCTTCCGTAAGGCCGTGGTACTTCTCCGGCCGAGCTCGACCAATGATGCAAAAGTAAAAGCCGCTACGTGACTCTGCCATAGTTAAATTTATTGCATCGCTAGTGTTTTTCCCAAGAGCATCGAGATATATCGGAATTAAACTGAGCATTGAAAACGTCGGATCGGGTCTCCGTTGGAAGGCCGATCGCTATTTTTAAATAGCACGCTGATCAAAGGAAATAATCGTTCGGACGGACGATGCGTTACAATGGCAACCTATATGTTCGCTGACTACGGATCTAAAGATTGAGTAATCGTCGACAGCGAAAATATATTATCTGTTTACTGATTTTTAATCTGTATGAAAAGCGGTTGTAAGAGTTAAAAATGTATTTTTTATGTAAGCTCGCATTCGAGTGCCCCTTTTTCTTATGTTTTTACTGGATAACAGGGATCAAAAGATTTTGTAAACGAATACATATCCTTCCTTAGATAATTCTTAATTGTACTGTGTATAATCTTTTGCACCCTTTTTAACTTATAATCTGTGTGTATTGACGAAATAGTGTTTTTTTCATATATTTTTTTTAAATTTAGTTAGCTCATTGCTCGCTTTTAATTCAATATACTCGAGCAGCCCGAGGAGCCCCGGTACCGGCACCAATCAAATTGTTCGTTTTAAGCGCTGATTTATCAAGTGCTCTGCGCCTCTTTTAAATGTCGTTGTTGAATGGTTGAAGTCATAACACGTCCAAATTCTTTTAGAGAATGTCCCGTCACATTAGCCGTATGAGATGGAACATGATAATCATTCCGATGATATTTAATTGGGAACATTTATACTATAAAACTCTCGCTATATAAAACTAAAACGTCTGAAATTTCAAATTCTATTAAAACAACAATTCAATCACTTATCAATATTATACTTTAATGGGATCGGCATACAGAGTTACCGTTCGATGAACAACACCGAACATAATTGGTCGGCATTTTAATCACCCTTAAAGCTAGTAAATCTAGCGTGAACTATGATATAAACTTCACCAATTCAACATTTCATATTATCACCGCCAGCGACTTGAATTGTTAACGGCTGACTTTTGAGAGTAACGGTGTTTCAAACTTTTAAATTCATGATACGACCGTGCATATTGCTTGCATAATGAGATTTAATTTTTACCGTCGCTTCCCTGAATATTTTTATTGTACATTATATACCTTATTCCTGAATAATCGAAACAGTAATTTCTAGAATAGATTTGGTTTAATGCCTTCCTAGCAAGTTACAAGAGTCAGATAAAGCAGCTAAATACCTTTTCTGCACAACTTTAAATGTATAAATGTATCCGTTGTGGGAATCGAACCCCAGTACAGAAATGTATGACAGAAATGTAATTAATAAATGAATAATTGATCACCAGTCTGTACGTAAAATAACGCGTACTTTTTATGGAAATTAGAAGTTTTAATAAAAACAAACAAACAAAAATCCCTATCTACCTTACTTCGGAAAGCATAACGCTACAAAAACTCGGAGTACAAAAGTTTGTAATTATGAATACTTTAAAGTACTTCAAAGATAAAAAAAATGTAGGTACGCGCGCACACTCGCCACACAAAAATGTTTTGATCAAAATGTTCTTTTTTTTTAAGTATTGTCTGCTGTTTCGTGCCAATGCGAGCATAAACACAAAAGATATAGTAATCTTCATTATGCAGTATGTATTAAATTTCATACATTTACTATCCAACCTTCTTTGTCTATATCTCGGCATTTCTGTATTTTCGCAATAGAGGCATAAGTCTCAAAACTAACCTTAAATCTTCGCATTTTGATGGGGTGCTACCGATTTTCATTTTAATGACATAATTCCTTTTTTGACAAAAACTAATATTTCGTGTCGTCATTTGTTACAACATAAGTTAATAGCGCCAGATATAATTACGTTTTCTGCACTAAATTCGTGTTCATAATTTAACTTTTTACCTAGTACTCTAATGAAACCTGTTTATAAACACGTTTACCCAATACGAGTACATCACTTGGCGACTACATACGCGTGTACGTAATAATAGCCAAGAGATAGTTGGTTGGATCGGTAATTTAAAAATAAAGCTATAAGCGTTTGTAAACGGCAACTACAAGCGTTACCGCCGTTGGCCATTTCAAGTCGCCTGTTTTCG